TCTCTCTCTCTCTCTCTCTCTCTCTCTCTCTCTCTCTCTTTCTCTGCCTAGAGGTTGCAATAAGGAACTCCATGGAAAATAAGTATAAACGTGGATCCAGATCTATTGTTATTTTCAGGTATTGCAATGATAGTTAACATCTATTTGGTTTTTACCTTTTGATTTCCCATGGAAAGAATTGATGGGACTAAGCCATGTTAATATTTTGTTCTGTTTATTTTTTTATATATATCTGAAAAGGGGGTTGATATACTCCTTAGAGTACATGAGCATGAAATGCTTCTTCGTAGTTAAATATATCCATCTTCTTATGCAGGCCATTGTGTTTGGCATCAAGATCCATTGCATAATGTATACTTGGTCATTTACTTCTCAGAAATAAGCTGTTCTAATTTCATTTTAAGGAAGTTTATTAAAATACCTATAAGGGGAGTCGCTGCTGTACGGTATATGCCATTATGTGGCTGATATGATACATACGACTTCATTTTAATTTTAATTTTTTTCTACAAATCCAAATAACTTGAAATTTGATGGTTGCCTTAGGTGCACTTAACAGAAAATATAAAAAAATAATTCTCGAAATTGTTTTGACCAAAATACCTTCAAAAGTTTTTGGGGGTATTTTGGTTAATTTATTTTATTTACATGTCTAAAATTTTAAATGATTTGGATTTATAGGAAAAAATTAACATTCAAATCCGGACAGATCATTAGATTAGCCTCATAATGGCCCAAATTGAATCTGAGCCATTCGTGTTTATTGTAGCTTGTATGCCCATGGGCGATCTTTTCCCACCTATAAGAGAGGAATTATTTAACAATTTACCCCTTTGGACTATTACCAACTCAAGGCCATGCACTATTTTAGGTGTTTTGAAATTAAATAAAAATATATCTAAAATGCTAAATAATTAATCGCTTATTTGTATATTGACAATTTTCCCTTTCATTTGTTGCAATTGGCTAATGAGGAAGGATTCTATAAGATTGATGCAATTGTTTAAATTGAACCATTTTGTATGGTACTATGGTTTTCTATATCTCTGTTGCATCACTTATATTCGACTCAATTACTTGTTAGAAAAAAGTGTTCAAATGTATTTTTTTTTTAATTTACCTAATGGGGAAGGATTTTTTTTTAATTTACCTAATGGGGAAGGATTTTTGCAGGAATGAAGAGTTAGTGATTAGGGAACTTGTTAGGCATGTTTCAGTCAAGTTGGAGTCTATTGCATGTTGCTGCTCACCTTGTTGGGCTCTATTCTCAGATTGATGATGTGATGAGTTTTTTAGAAGGCCATGCTATTGATGTTCAGATTATTGGGATCCATGGCATGGGTGGCATTGGTAAGATAACTCTTGCCAAGGCAGTGTTCAACAAAATATATTCCAATTTCCAAGGCAGTGGTTAGGAAATAAGGCTTGGGTCAAGGCGGTAGCAGCTGGATTGTTATAGTCTCAAGTTCCATTTCTATGTAACCTTGTCAAAAAAATAAATTTCCTAGGCAGTTGTTTTCTCTTAGATGTTAGAGAATCGTCTAAAACAAATGATGGGGTTGTTAACTTCCAGAAACAACTACTTTAGGAACTGTTTAGTGAAGGAGATGCAATTATATAATGTTGATAGAGGCATCGATGTTCTTAAGAATAATAGGATTGGGTCTAAGAAAGTTCTTGTTGTAATTGATGATCTCAATAGTGAGAAACAACTCAAAAAATCGGCTATTAACTCTGATTGGTATCATCAGAGAGTAGGATCATCATCACCACCAGAGATGAGCATGTGTTAAATGTGAATAATAGAGTGGATAAGTGTCATATCTACAAGCTCAAGGAAATGGACAGCAAAGAATCTTTTCAACTCTTCAATTGGTACGCATTTGGGAGGGACGAATCCATGCAAGGATATGCCGAGCTTTCTTAGGATGTGCTATCCACTGCTAGTGGACTTCCACTAGCTCTTGAAGTAACTTATGGGATGAGACACTGGATGAGTGGAAAGATGTAGTAGCAAATTTGAAATATTTGTTTCATTTCTTCGTTCAAATCATCAAAACTTATTTTCAGCTTTGGCATGACATCATTTTCAGTGGAAAGATGCTGTAAAAAATCTTTATGAGTGATCTTTGCAATAGTTTCCTTATGGAAATATTGTGGTTTTTGGAAGGAGACTATTGCGAATGTCACTCATTAAGATTAATAATGAGAGTAGGTTGTGGATGTACCATCAACTTCGTGACATGGGGAGAGAAATTGTTGAACTCGGGTGATCTTGGAAGGCATAGTAGGTTGTGGTCTAAAGAAGATGCCATTATTGTGTTAAAGAACCACAAGGTGAGATTCTTAAATTAGCTCATTTTTCTCTTGTTGGAGAAAACTTTTAATGAATTATTTGATTAGTATCGATTTAACTCTGTTTCATCAAAAGGTGATGTGCTCAGATACGTCTATTTTTTAGCATCTTGTTGCTTGGCTAACATTTACTTTTATTGTCGATTGCGCAACTTGTAAGGTTCGAGGCCTAATGCCCTAGGGGAATGATCAGGAGGAGAGTTGCAAAACTAAAGTATTTAACCAATGACCAATCTCATGCTACTCAACATTAGTCATGCGAGTCTTATTGGAATCTTGAAAGATATTTCATCAGAATTGGTGTGGCTACAATTGTGGCAATCCCCTTTATGGTACCTCCCAGATGATTTTAGCCATGGAAACTTGTTGTCCTTGACTTGTCAAAGAGTGACGATGTCCTTCACTTGTCAAACAACACCACCAAGCAGGTTTGCTACTTCTAAGTTATAGTAAACATTCAGCTCATGTCATTTTTATTATTAGTATTATTTTAATTGACCAATCTCATGCTACTCAACCTTAGTCATGCGAGTCTTATTTGGAATCTTGAAAGATATTTCATCAGAATTGGTGTGGCTACAATTGTGGCAATGTCCTTTATGGTACCTCCCAGATGATTTTAGCCATGAAAACTTGTTGTCCTTGACTTTTCAAAGAGTGACGATGACCTTCACTTGTCAAACAACACCACGAAGCAGGTTTGCTACTTTTAACTTATAGTAAACATTCAGCTCATATCATTTTTATTATTAGTAGTATTTTAATTGTTTCTTGCATACTTGAAACCTATCATGGCTTTTGTCCTCCCTAACAACCAAGTTTTTTGGATAGGTCTCCCAAATTGCTGTAACTTATGATAGAATTCCCCATTTTTCTCTATACGCAAACTTGGCGAGGTTGATTCTCACTTCTTGCTTGAAGTTGGTTGAGATTCCTAACTCTGTAGACCTTCTCAGGAATTTAGTTTATTTGGATATTTTTGGATGCTCCATCCTAAACAAACTGCTACATTCGCGAAGCTCACTAGTGAACCTGAAGGAGTTGTAGGTGAGTATGTATGAGAAACCCAGTAGATTCCCAACATCAATGGGAAGGATGAGGTCATTGCATCGTCTAAAGATGATCCCATACATCTTTCTAACTTTGAAGAGTTGGATACGATGGGCTGTAGACAATTGAAAGAGCTCCCAGAAAGCTTTGGAAGTCTTATGAGTTTAAGTACTCTGGATATATGCTGCAACACCAACACCAGTTTGACAAGGCATCTACTCTCTCAGGTCTCCTTGGAGGAATTGGATGCAAGACATTGTAACCTGCAAGGGATGATTGCTTGTCACTTTGAAAAGTTATCCAAATTGAAAAAGTTGAATCCAAAGCCTGCCAAGGAGCTTGAGGGGCCTTTCTCAACTAGGATACCTGGATATAAATAATATTGAGCACCTGGAAGCTATCCCTGAGCTCCTCACGAGTTTGAAATGTCTGAATCAGCATTTAAAAAAACGTCGAGTCGTCCGGTTCGACTCGAGAATCGCCATGGACGGATCGAATCGGCGAAAAAAACGGGAATCGTCCGGTTCTAGAGAGAACCGGACGATTCTGCACAGTGACTCGCCGATTCACTGTACGGAATCGGCGAGTTCGGTACGGAATTTTTTTTTATTTTTATTTTTATTTTTTATTTTTTATTTTTATTTTTTATTTTTTATTTTTATTTTTTATTTTTTATTTTTATTTTTTATTTTTATTTTTTATTTTGTAATCCATGATAGAATTTTTTGTAATACTTGATCGATTTTTTTGTAATCCATGATCAAATTGTTTTTTTTTTTTTGTAATCCATGATCGAATTTTTTGTTTTTTTGTTTTTTTTTGTAACCCATGATAGAATTTTTTGTAATCCATGATCGAATTTTTGTAATCCATGATCGAAATGTTTGTTTTTTTTCTTGTAATCCATGATCGTAATTTTTTGTTTTTTTTTTTTTTGTAACCCATGATAGAATTTTTTGTAATCCATGATCGAATGTTTTGTAATCCATGATTGAAATGTTTGTTTTTTTTTTGTAATCCATGATCGAAATGTATGTTTTTTTTTTGTAATCCATGATCAAATTTTTTGTTTTTTGTTTTTTTTGTAACCCATGATAGAGTTTTTTGTAATCCATGATTGAATTTTTTGTAATCCATGATCGAATTGTTTTTTTCTTTTTTTGTAATCCACGATTGAATTTTTTGTTTTTTTTTGTTTGTTTTTTTTGTAATCCATTATCGAATTTTATGCAATCCATGATCGAATTTTATGTAATCCATGATCGAATTTGTTATAATCCATGATTGCATTTTTTAAAAATTTGTGATTTTTTTTTTTAATCCATGATCGAATTGTTTTTTGTAATCCATGATATAATTTTTTGAAAATTTGTGATTTTTTTTTTTTGATCCATGATCGAATTTTTTTTGTAATCCATGATAGAATTTTTTGAAAATTTGTGATTTTTTTTTTTAATGCATGATCAATTTTTTTTAAAATTTGTTTTTTTTTTTTAATCCATATTATTCAAAGAGAAAATGAGAGAGATGATTCCGAGGCCACCCCTATCCCAGCCATATTATTCACATATCGAGTCCCAACAGCAACAGTGTAGGGATGAGCACGACAGTGCAGGTGAGCATGAAGGATGGACAATCTTCGGGGATTTTAGATTGGGAACACAACAAAACACTAACACTCAGGGATTTGGGAATAATCAGACGCCTGCCAATATCGATGATTCGTTTTTAGATCGAATCAATGAATTGTTAAACGAATTCAATCAATGGCACCAGCGTGACCAAGAAGAACAATAACGTCGTCTATCATTTTATTTTTAGATCATATGTTATTAATTTTATGCTTTATTGTAGTCCATGTATGTTGATATACTTATTCCATGATAATTATATGTTTATCCTTTTGTGTGATGTAAATTAAATGCTGAATGTCGGTTCATGCAGCGAAAGAACATATCAATATTCGCATATTCATTCAAAAATATTAAAATTCTTAATGGAGTACCCTCATTTCTTATTGAATTCTTAAAAAACAATATTTGTAATGAATTTTAATAAATTTTTCGGATTTTTTTTAAGTTTTATTCTGACCGATTCATCCGATTCCCGATCCGGATCGTCGATTTGCCTATCCGGATCGGTTTTTTGGGAGCTCGATTCGGGTCACCGATCCGTTTTTTAAACCATTGGTCTGAATACTAGTGTTGCGTAAAGGTGCGAACCTTGGTCAAGCTATCTCATCTCAACTACAAGAACTGTCCTTATGTGATTGTAAGCAGCTGGTAGCTATACTTGAGCTACCCACCAATTTAAAATATTTGGATGCTATCTAGTACAATAGTTTGCAAACCAAGCTCAAGCTATCACACGTTTTTGAACGAGAAGCATTGTCTATAAATTATTATGAGCAGTGGGTAGTTGTCCCTGAGCTTCCCGTAAGTTTGGGAGTATGAACCTTGCCCAAGCAATTTCACCTTTCTAAACTAGAAGAATTGGATGTTAGAGACTGTGTGGTAAGATCTTGGCTATCCAGGATCTTCTCGCTACTCTGAAGAATTTGCATGCTTCCAACTGTACATTATTGCAAATTATAACCAAACTCTCTCACCTTTCTGAACTTGAAAATTTGGATCTCACAAACTCTAAGGGCCTGATTGAGATACAGGGTCTCAGTGGGTTGAAATCCTTGAGATTTTGCGCTTGCATGGGTGCAGCCCCCACACTTTTGAGGGGTCAAAGGCTAGCATAGACATGTTACTTCACAATAAAACTCCTGCTGTTTGGTTTTTGTGTGATCTTTATGTTTTTGACTGCAAATTTCCTTTTCCTTTTTATTGTTTTGTGTATATATATACTATCACTGATATGCGTGTGTTGCACATGAAATTGATTGACTATAGAAATAAATTTTTATCTGAAAATAATATTCGATTATAGAGAGAGAGAGGTTCTTATAGATCCATCTTTACATAATTATAGAGAGAGACGATGGACTTACTTTGCAGATCTTATTTGATAGAAATAATTGAGAAATAATGCACAAAAATATGAAGATTTCTCCCATTCTAATTTAATACATTCTGGTCATTTATTGGTCTGAACCAAAGCCCAAAAACTTCGTTATTGTTATTATTATTTTTTCCTTTTTACTATATCTTCATTAAATTAGTTTTACTTGTATTAAATCATATATTATTTACTTATGGGTGCGGTTTGTATAGAGCCAAGGCTTCAAGTAGTGTTCGAAATGTGGTTTCAATACTGAAAGTCTTTGTGATTGCCTTAAAATATATTTGGATATCTAATTATAAAATTTAAAGCTTTAAAAATAGTGTAAATCAAGCAGATCTATTAAAATTTGAAAATCTTGAAAATCTTAAAAATTGATGGTCCAAAAATGCATTACAAGATGCATTATTTCCAAAAATTGAAATCTATTTTTTTTCCCATGTTCATGCATCTTGATGTCGAGATGATCAATCTGAAGATATTTGAGCTTCAAAACAACCTCTAGTGAAAATTTGGAGGTGGCTCTAGTTTGATTGATTAGTGCCCCTTTACTTATATGTGGGTATTACTTTGAACAATTAAAAAAACTAAAGATGCAAAAACGAATAACAATCAAAGAGTTATCTTTTTCTTTTTTATATTTAGCAATTACTTTGAACAATTAAAAAAACTAAAGATGCAAAAAAGAATAACAATCAAAGAGTTATCTTTTTCTTTTTTATATTTAGCAGTATGAGTGTTAACTTTTTACTTTTGTTTTCTAGTGCTATATTATTAACTTATATAATTTTTACATTTTTGTTAATTGCATTATTTTTAACATAATTAAAATTAAAATTATTTTTAATTGCATAAGTACATATAAGTAAATATTATTTGAAAAAAAATTAAAAAAGATGAAAGTACAAAAATACTTCACATGATATATATAATGAAATCATAGTAATTAGGCATCTATTGCAATCAAAACTAATCATAATGTTATTATTATTTATTTATTTTTCTTTTATGGTGGTAACATTTTTATATTTTTTTCTATTTTGTTTGGGATTTTGAAAATTATAAAAAAGTATAGGCAAAAATTAAAGGAATAGAAAGAAAAACAGATGAATAAGGAAATTGAAGGATTTTTTTTGTAATTACTAATTATAGTGATACTGCAATTTTAGTTTATTTTATTTTTTTACTGACGTGGCTCCATTTTGAGGCAGTTACTTCCACATATATAGTTTCAATTATGTTATTGCCTCTATAATTTGTATTTATGGTTAATTACTATTCTGTTTTTCTTATATTTTGTATTTACAAGAATATCATCCACTAGTATAAATGCAATTATATCATCCACTAATATAAATTAAATTTTTAC